TCTTTCCCTTTGCTGAGCACACACTCCCGTTGGCAATTGTAAAAAACAAAAACAGCTTTCTCCCCATTCACAAATGAATAATGCCTTCGAATTCCGCCCAGCAGCCGGCCTTCCATGGACCCCTTATCTCTTTCTCTCAGGGAGTTACCCTAGGAGACAACTTCTAGTCTGTTGGATGGTCGGAGGAAGGGATCTCATTCTTCAGAAATTGGGGTCTTGAGAAAAACAAACAAAACCACTGGACCAGGTCATAGGGAAGAGGAGGCGAAAGGACGCCCAAAGCTGGGAGCAGGGTAGGAGAAGGGGAGGGATACCCTGACAATATGCCACATGCCCACCATATTTGTTTATGGATGCATTGAGTTTGAGAGGCCATTTCACCATCCAAGAAACATCAATGGGCCAGTTAACATGTAAGGGAGGTCAGGAGACAGGTCCAGGGTGAAGTGTGTAAATTTGGGGTTAATCTTCATATGGAAGATATTGATGAGTGCAGGGAATCTTCTTGCCCAGAATCAATGATAGGGAATCCAATCTATTACTAGAGGTCCATTTTTAGTTTTTATAGGTGCAGAATGATTTCTTTTGGGTCTTTCTTTCCCAGGTTTGTAGTCCATGTGCCATAAAGCACACCACGGGTTCCAAGAAAATGCCAGGTAACATGGTCCTAATAATAACTGTTCACTGCATGCTAAAGTCTTTGTTCTATGAATAAAGGCATTCAGAAAAAAAAGAAGAAGAAGTTTTTGACTTAGGGCATATGACAGTGAGAGGAAAAGTGAGAAATCACCCCCTGGGGGAACCAGCAGTTAGCGTAATGGCTATGTCACTGGACTCCCGTGTAGTCGACCGTGGTTTGCGTCCTGGACCCGGTGGCTTAAAACTCACGCCGGGCATGCCCAAGATCCTGAGAGGAGAATGGAGGAGAAGGGATTGCGGTGTGACCATCCCCCCTGGGGGGTGATTTCTCGCTTTCTGTCTCTCTGTCTCTCTGTCTGTCTGTCTGGCGAGCGCACGCGCCCTATAGCGAAAATCTCTCCAAAAAAAAAAAAAAAAAAAAAATCACCCCCTGGGGGGGGGTGGCCACGCCACAATCCCTTCTCCTCCATTCTCCTTCTGAGACCTTGGACGTGCACACACACGTGCCCAGTATGATTTCCAAGCCACCAGGTCCAGGACTCGAACAGCAGTAGGCCATGTGCGAGTCCAGTGATGTAACTGCTACGCCATCTGCTAGCCCCAGAGTAAATGCATTCTAATGCCATAGCACCTGCCCTCTGGGGTCAAGATAAAAGACTTTTCTGAGACATTTCAGATTGCTGTTATTTAGCAATTGACAACACAGAGAAAGCACGTCATTCATGCATGAGATCATATACAAACCCAATAAAACTGTAGAAGTCTTTCAAATTCACTGTCTTCTTCGGATGAAACAAAGCTTTCTGTGCCAAGTTCCAGCTTAGGAAGGATTTGTCGGAAAATAGAAGTACACTGTCGATTCCAACGGGTGGGGTGTTTAGGTCGCCATTCCATCAGCTTGAACTTTAGAGTCCTTTCAATCCTAAGGTAAGAGCGCGGAGATCACTCTGTGATAAGTTACGACTCCGTAAATGCGAAAGGAGTTTCACGACTCACGAGTATGAGAACGCTATGTTTTGGACTTGGGAGGACACTAGACTCCAAATGAGGGGTGTCTGCCAACGTTCACTTTAGTCACATCAAGAAGCAGCAGGCCTTTGCTGTGCTTAGAAAGGCAGGGCGTCTCCTGGAGGAGCCAGCAACTGGCTCCCCAAGGTGCATCTCTTTTCCCTCACCTATGTAGGCAGCTGCCTGCGGGGTGTGACTTGACACCGTCTGGTGACTGGGTTGACACTCCTACTTGTCAAGGTCCTCCTTTTGTTTTTTTAAAGAATTATTTTATTTAACTTTATTTATTATTAATCATTATTATTTTTCAGTTTGATCAGAGAGAGACAGAGAGAGAGAGAGGAAGTGAGAAAGCAAGCCACCAGGTCCGAGACTTGAACCGTGGTCGGCCATGTGGGAGTCCAGCGCCTTTAACCACCACGCCACTTGCTGGCCCCAAGGTCCTCCTTTGACATAGGACACTCTTCTTCTTCTTTTAAAATAATTATTGATTTAATTATATTTATTCATTCACTTATTTTACTTTGACCAGAGAAAGACGGATGCAGAGGGAGAAGAAAGGTGAGATAGCAAGCCACTGGGTCCAGGACCCGAACCGTGGTTGGCCATATGAGGGTCCAGCGCCTTAACCACCATGCCACCTGCTGGCCCAGGACACTGTTTCCAAGAAGTGCGTTTACACACATCCAGGAGCTGGTCTGAGATGACCTTAGCAGGGACGGGGTTAGTAGTTCAGTTAATCAGCACGCAGAGTTGGGTGAAGGGAAGCGCTGGACTGGTACTAGGGTGAACTGCCTCCTCCCACTAGAATGGAATCTCCTAGAAGGCTGGGATCTCCACCTGGACACCTGGCTCCTGGAATGCACCTGGTGATGAACCACACTGGGCAGGGAGAGCGGGGGCAGGGAGTGCAGTGTGGACAGGTTGATGGGACCTCCCTGAGGAGCCGCCCCTTTGTGCAGGACGACTGCGTAGGATCCACCCCTAATTGCAGAGTGTGCTGCAGAAGCTACTGGGACTCTGCCCGTGACTGAGTTCACAGTGCAAAGCAGTAGTCTGGAGCCTGCAGAGGGCCTCAGTGGTGGCTATACATCCAGGTCTCCTGGAGGGCCTTATCAAAAGGTTTCACAACCTGATTTTAATTCAATGGGCTAGGTCTAGGCCTATGGCATGTGCATTTTTAAAAAAGGAATTATTTAACTTTATTCACCATTATCATTCTTTTATTAATTTGACCAAAGAGAGAGCGAAGAGAAGTGAGAAAGCAAGCCGCCAGATCTGGGACTCGAACCATCCTTGACCATGTCAGAGTCCTGCACAAAGGACCTTAACCACCATGCCACCTTCTAGCCCTGGCACGTGTATTTCTCAATAGCTGTCAAAGCAATTCTGATACAACTAGAAGGTGAGAAGCATTTCCCTACTACATTTTTTCCTTTTTGGTTAAGAACTGGGAAACGAGGGCTGGGAATGCTGGGAGCAGGGTGGGGGTGTGCAGTGGTGAGCCATGGAATGGGAAAGTGGCTTTCATCGTGCTCTGTTTTGATTAGTTGGTAGTGGCTTGTCAGCCACGTGATGGGTCACGGGAGGTGGCCACATCGAGAAGCCTCTGACACGTCTGAAGTAGGGGTGAGGCTTGCTGTCAAGTGTGTGGCCCTCTGGGTTTGATGGGCCAACCCCGTAACGTGCTCATGTGTACATGTTTGAGGAAGTGGGGAGTTTCTGTCACCCAGCTAGGACGTTTTTACCACCCCCTGAGTGATGGTCATTCACCTTTTTGTCCTTTCAGGGACAGCCCTGGGGGTGGGGCTGTGTATGTCCCAAGAGCCAGGTGGTTCAACTGAATTAACTATTAACGTTGCCATCTCGGGGTTGGCAGGTGGCATGATGGCTAAAGGCACTGGATTCCCACATGGCCGACCATGGTCCCGAACCTGGTGGCTTGCTTTCTTGTTTCCCTTTCTCTCTCTCTCTGTCTCTGTCTGTCAAATTAAAAAATAGTAATAATAACAAGTGGAATTGAATAAATAATTCTTTTAAAAAAATATTGCAATCTCCTTTTTCATGCTGCTGTCGCTGAATCTAATGGATGTCTTGAGAGGCTGGGTCAGAGGACTGAAAGGCCATGAACAGGTGACGGGGGACCCGGTACCTGTTCTTCAGATCTTCTACCATGCTCTTATTAGTATCAGAATAAATGATTTCTTCAGGCTGAAATGTAGACAAAAAATAGTTTAGGAAAGATTCTAGAAAGACCATCTTTACACCGCAGACACCCCTGGGGGGGTGCTGTAATGGGGGGGACCCAAACCAGACTCGGGCAAGAACACTCCATCCCGTAGGGAAACGTGGGGCAGTGTTTCCTCTGGTTTTGAGGCTGCTTCACCAGAGCATGGAAGTGGGATGTTTTTCTTCAAACAAATGTTTGATATGGTTCTTCTTATTAATATTTTAGCTTATTTTCTTTATTCATGAGAGAGTGCAGATGCATGCAAGATAGAGAGAGAGAAGGTGCCCTTCAGAGGGTGTGGGCATGCTGCCATCCTCTCCTTCCCAACCTCTGGTTAGCCAGAAGCCCGAGCACAAGTGCACATCCCGGCCAGCCGGGCTAGGGATTCGAACACAGTTGATAGTGACTTCCAGCACTGAAGTTCTGGACACTAGGCGGTGCCACGGAGGCTGGCCTGACATGCGTACTGACTACTGAGAATCTTGGGCAGCTTCTCTAGCCTTTTCCACGTGCTATGACCTCGGCAAAGTTACTTCATCTCTGTCCCGAGTCTCAGCCATCTTACCTTTAAAGCAGGGCACTAATGAGGCCTCCTGTTCCGAGGTTTCGTGACAACTTTTCTTTTCTTTTCTTTTTTCCTTACAATTTTTAAAAGATTTTGCTATAGGGTACACGCACTCACCGGAGAGACAGAGAGAGAGAGCATGTGTGCTCCCCAGAGAGACAGAAAGCAAGAAATCAGCCCCTAGGGAGAAGGGCCACACCGCAATTCCTTCTCCCTCCTTCTCCTCTTGCGATCTTAGGCCCAGCGTGCATTTCAAGCCGCCAGGTCCAGGACTCAGACTGCAGCCGACCCCGTGGGAGTCTGGCAAAACCATTTCGCCATCTGCTGGTCCCTGGGGAAGACTTCAAAATACAGAAATAGACGGGGCCGACTGTAGCTCTGCACTTAAGCACTGTGTAGGGGAAGCGGGTTCCACTTCTCTGAGTGTGGTTTGAATCCCAGCTGCAGGGGCTCCCAGAAGTGGAGGGAAGCAAGGAGCTAAGGTGACCAGGCCCTGCTGGGAGTCCTCCTCTCTCTCTGGCTCTCTCTCATGCGCACGGGCCTTCTGGCCAAAACACATAAATAATAAAATTAACCAAAAGCAGTCTGGCACATAGAGAGTGCTCAATAGACGTGAGACATTATTACTTTTCTAACGTTCTTTGTTGTCTTCTTGCTTTGATTCTTCATTTTTCTCAGCTGGGAGGAGCCAGTTTTTTGTGCGTGTGTGCACCCATGCATGCCTACATACACGCACACACGCACACACACACGCACATGCAGATCCATTTCAACCTGCCCTGTCTCCAAGCCTTTGCCCAGCAACCTCCCGCCCCCGGCAGCGGGGAGCAAGGCTTTTCTGTGTCTCCTCACGTCCCTGTTCAGGGCAGGATTTGCTGCAAGGAGGGAGTGCTCCCAGTTCTCCCCCGAGTCTCCCTCCCTCTCACGGACAAGAAGGGGAGCTGGGTTCAGACTGTCGTTGCTTTGGCTATTCTGGAACAGAAGAACAGAAACGGCTGTCGGGACAGGGACAGACGTCCTCCCTCATGAATGGAATCAGGGTTGTGCAAAAAGGGGGCAACACTTGAAAGGCCTGTGGTTCCCAAAGTGTAGTCCCAGACCCAGACCAGCACCTGCAGCCTGGAAGTCCTCAGCTCAGACCCACTGAATCGGATCTCCAGAGGAAGGGCCAGCAATCTCTGTTGTTATTGTTTTGCTTTTTTAAAGGTTTTTGCCATAGGGCGTGTGTGCTTGCTGGAGAGAGAGATGAGAGTCAGTGAGAAATTACCCCCCAGGGGGACAGCCACGTTGCAATCCCTTCTCCTTCATTCTCCTCCTGGGATCCTGGCACGCACACACATGCACTCCGTGTGGTTTTCAAGCCACTGAGTCCAGGACTTGAACTGCAGTCGGTCATGTAGGAGTCCAGTGCCTTAACCACCGTGCCACCTGCTGGCCCCCAGCAATCTGTTTTAACAGGCCCTCAGGTGACCCTAATGCCTGCGATGGCTGGAGAATCACTAGGTTAGACCAGAGTGTCAGGCACAGCGAGCTTCCCCACAGCCACATGGCCGGAGACAAGACACTGAGAAAGGGAACCGCTCGAGCCGGGGTCACCTCGCGGGGCCCAGCAGCTGTCCCAGACAGGCAGCCTGGCCCTCCTGCCTGCTGTCAGCTCGTGCTGTCTACCCCACCCCGCACCGGACACCCGCATGCCTGAACTAGAAGCCTGGACGATGCTGACTCGATCCGTCAGTGGATGTCTGTCCACTTGCTAGCAAAGACTTTCTCTTAGGGGATTCCTGTCCTTCTCACTTCAAGACGGGGGCGGCCTGTAGCATAGCAGGAACAGGGAAGGGGAAGCTGGACCCACGAGGCCCACCGGGGTTCGAGTTCCCGAGCAGCTGGCTCCCTGCGGGGTGTGCAGGGGAAGTTGGACCCACGAGGCCCCCCGGGGTTTGAGTTCCCGAGCGGCTGGCTCCCTGCGGGGTGTGCAGGGGAAGCTGGACCCACGAGGCCCACCGGGGTTCGAGTTCCCGAGCAGCTGGCTCCCTGTGGGGTGTGATGGAGAGCTGGAGGAAGGCAGACTGTGGTGTGACCGGGTCCCTACGGGGCTGCTGTCGGTCTCCCTCCCTCCTCTCTCCTCTCGTGCTCACACACCTCGTAGAACTAAAATCTTCAGGGGGATCTCCCTGTTACCTGCATCTCTGAATACCCACATTCTCAGCTAAACAACACACTTGAATTCGCGTTCTCAATGGTGTGGAATGGGTAGTGTTCATTCTAGATATGGCCTATTATGGGATGTATGTGGGAAGGCAGAAACTCTAGGGCCATTAACCCACAGGAAAGAAATCAAGAGAAACACAGAGCAGATACAGCCATGAGTCTTACATTTATAGATGCAACTGGGCCAAAGATTTCAGTGTCCACCTTGGGTCAGAGTGATTTGTAAAAACACAGTTTGGGGGCCAGCAGGTGGCATGGAGGTTATGGTGACTGGAGCTCATGTGGCTGGCTGTGTGGCCAGAGTCCCGGATCTGGCAGCTTGCACACCCAGCATGTGTGTGTGTGTGTGTGCCCAAAGTCCTGAGAGGAGGAGAGCAGAGGAGGAGGGATTGCAGCATGGCTGTCTACCTGGAGGGTGATTTCTCACCTTCTCTCTCTCTCTCTCTCTCTCTCTCTCTCTCTCCCCCCAGCTCTTCAGTGAGCATATGCACCATGTAGCAAACTGAAACCAAAATGAAAAACCAACCAACAAACACGTTTCGATCGCAGCAGCTCTTGCCTCAGTGATGCTGGCACTGGCTGCCCTAAGGAGGAAGGCCCACATCTCACCAGGACCCTGTTCGTCCCTCTGCCCATCTCTGCCCAGGCCCTGTCCGGGCTGGCCTTCCAGCTCCTGCAGACGTCCCCTCGCCACCACGGGCCTTCCGGCTCCACTGGGATGACTCTGCCATGACCACCGTCTAGGCAAGCCCGGCTCACGCCTCCACCCTTCCCAGGAGCCCCTGCACGCTCCCTCCCTCGGGTCGTCCTGCCGGGCCCTCCCACCAGCATTCGCCACTGCACCGTGACTGCTTGTCCCCAACTGTGTCCTCCCCTAGGACGGAAGTTCCAGGGACACGGGGACATGTTCTCTCCCCGTGGTGCCTACACCCAACACTGCACTGGCTCATGGCAGGGAATCAGTCACTATGACCTGAATGAAGAGAACGAGTTCTATCAGACAAAGCTCCATTTCCAAACGTCGGCAGCAATGCCTCCATCTCAGCTTCGAATGGGAAAAGCCAGGCCTGGGCTGGAGAGGCGATAAACGTGGTTTGCTCAAGAGAGATAAGCACATTTCCCTTTCTTTAAAATGGCTCTCAAACAGGAAATCCCAAAATACACGTGCACGTTTGCGTGTGCATGGAGAGTGTTTAGAGGAACGCACACGGGGCTGCTGGCCGCAGTCGCTCCTCCGAGGGGAAGCACAGGGACGCTGAAGCAGAGAAACAATCTCCATTTTATACACGTGGGTACTCTGTGACGCCCACCCCCACCACTGTCACTCTCTGATAGAGCTGCCCCAAATATACAGACACGCGTAGGGAATGACGTAATGAACATGCACCCAACACACCTACCACCCAGCTATTTCTAATCTGTGCATTCTTCCACATCCGCCTTAGCTTTCTCTTGTTTTTATTTCATTTTGTTTTGCCATAAAGTGCATGCTCTCAGCAGAGACAGAGAGAGATAGTGAGAAGTCACCCCCCAAGGAAAATGTCCACACTTCTCCTCTATTCTCCTCTCTGGATTTTGGACACACACACACACACACACACACACACACACAGCATGATTTTCAAGCCACCATCTCTGGGACTTGAACTACTGTTGGTCATGTGGGAGTCCAGAACTTTACCCACCATGCCGCCTGCTGGCCCCTTCTTTCAGATTTTAAAAAGGAAGCACAGCACTGCAGACGGGTGTATAGCACTCTGCATGCTGCTCCCCGGTCATTCCTTTTATTCTCTCCCGGGGGACCCTCGCCTGAATGCAGTTCCCTCGTTCCCATTGCTGCTGTTACCCATCGCTATACTGTCTGCACAGAGCGATGCTTAGTTTTCAAACTGCACCTAGGAGGTTTTGTACGCATGTGTCTTTTCACAACTTATCTCACCTACCACTGTTTTCTTTTTTTTTTTTATAATACTCACTTCTGTTATGCATGGCTCCAGGGACATGATTCCCAACCGTGGTGCATGTTAGAGTCACCCGGGGAGCTTCCAAAGCTGCTCCTGTGTGGGCTCCAGCCTCGCAAGCTGGATATAGTACATGTAAAATCAAACTGACAACTACTGTACACTGTTCATACACTATTTTTACTGCCATAAATAAAACAGAAAATGTTATATGAGAACTTTAAAACTCATGAGCAGATTATCCATTGAGGAATTGCTTCCCATCTTTTACTATTTTGAGCAATTTTTCTTTTTTGTTGTTGTTTTATGTCTTTGTTTGTTTGCTTGTTTGTTTTGGAGAGGTTTTTTTCTCTAGGGCAATGTGCACTCGCCAGAAAGACAGAGAGACAGACAGACAGAAAGTGAGAAATCACCCCCAGGGGGGGATGGCCACACCGCGATCCCTTCTCCATTCTCCTCTCGGGATCTTGGTCATGTGCGCACACGCGCCTGGCGTGAGTTTAAGCCACCAGGTCCGGGATGCGAACCACGGCCGGCTACATGGGAGTCCAGCGACATAGATTATATGCCAACTGCCAGTCCCAATTTTTCCTATTTTTAAAGAATAATTTATTTAATTTTATTTATTATTATTTTAATTTGCTACAGAGCACGCACACTCAGCCAAATAGAGAGAACGTGAAAAAGGAAGCCACCAGGTCCGGCACTTGAATTGCAGTCGGCCACGTGGCAGTCCGGTGCCCCGAACAGCACCCCGCCCGCGGGCCCCCTGTTCCGAGCGATTCTACAGCAAACACTGTACTCAATCCCTGTGCTCGTTCCTCTAGGATGCGTTCTTACACGTTTGAATTCGTGGATCAAAGCATCAGCATCTTCCGCTTTACCAGCGACCACCACGTGGCTCTCCAAGGCCTAAGAGCAACTCGCACTCCCATTTCTCTCTGCTTTGCCAAAACGGAACGTCACACATTTTTTTTTCCAGTTTTATGCAGGTGAGATAGTGTCCTGTGGTTTAAAACTGCATTTTCCCAATTATGAGTGAAGTTGAGCATTTGAGTTTTCACTGCTATGAATTGCCATTTGCCTTTTTTCTAACGCTCTCTCTCTCTCTCTCCCCCAGCTACTCGGGGCTCGCAGCTTCTCGTTTAGGGACTCTGTGATTGCCTGAACCCTGGCCTTCTATGGGCCGCAACCCAAGAGCAGCTAGACACAAATTTGAGGTGCCTTTCCAAAGTGGTTCTGACTCTACCACGGATCCCCTGGCCTAGTCTCCTGCCTTCTAAGCCCCAGGCAGTGAGTCCACAACTTTTTTTTTTTTTTTAATTTTCTTTCAAAAGTAAGGGAGTGGGTGGGAACCAGCAGTTAGCGTAATGGCTATGTCGCTGGACTCCCACGTAGTCGACCACGGTTCGCATCCCGGACCCGGTGGCTTAGAACTCACGCCGGGCCCATGTGCGTGCGTGCCCAAGATCCCGAGAGGAGAATGGAGGAGAGGGGATTGCGGCATGACCATCCCCCCTGGGGAGTGATTTCTCGCTTTCTGTCTCTCTGTCTCTCTCTGTCTGTCTGGCGAGCGCACGCGCCCTATAGTGAAAATCTCTCAAAAAAAAAAGTCAGGGAGTGGGGAGCCCCCATCAAAGTCTCTGACTTCAGAAGCGAAGCTTACCCCGTCCCGTCCCGTGGCTTCCATCCTCTGTAGGCCTCGCTGCCATCCCCGCTTCAGCCCCACCCACTGCTGGCGCTTCTCTGCTGTGTCTATTCCAGGCCAAGGTGAGTCTTTTTGTTCGTCAGATTTTATACTTAATCAGTACCATGGATGTGGAGCGAAAGGCCGAGCTCTCAGTAAGCACTTAAGACACCACCTTGAATGTTGCACTCTGCTAAAATTGTTCAAATATATTTTAAAATCTAAATTCACATTTGAGATGATGCTCTCTTCTCAAATCCTGTGTCCTGCGGGTAGAGGACAGGGGCCAAAGTGGCCCACCCAGGGGCCAGAGGGCCGAGAAAACTAGTTTTTGATGAATATTGTCAAATAACTTATGTAATACATTACAAGAGTGGTCGCAACTGGCAGAGACTAGAGACAACCGTAACTCATAAAAACACACCTGGAAAAATATGATTTACCTGTATGCTTTGGGCTTTCGTCCCTTGAAAATTTTTTGGAAGCAACTGTTTCCAGAAACTTTCTTTCGAATAGTCAAAATGGACAGCCATCGGCGTGTTGTTCTGTTGAACATTAAACCAGACCTATTAAAGCATTAACAGGAGATCAGCAAGGGCCACGGGAACACAGAGCCCACAGTCGAAGAACGGAGCCAGGCGTTACAGTGAAGGGGCAGAAGCCAGGGAGCTCTGAGACAGCAGATGAGAGACTCCAGGGTTTTGTTTTTTTGGAGAGGATTTTTGCTATAGGGCGCATGCCCTCGCCAGACAGAGAGAGACAGAGAGACAGAAAGCAAGAAATCATCCCCCCAGGAGCGATGGCCACACCGCAATCCCTTCTCCTCCGTTCTCCTCTTGGGATCTTGGGCACACACGCACACGCGCCCGGCGTGAGTCTTAAGCCACCGGGTCTAGGACACGAACCACGGTCGACTACATGGGAGTCCAGCGACATAGCCATTACGCTCACTGCTGGTCCCAAGACTCCAGGGTTTTGTGACATTAGACTACCACACTGGCTTTCACCCTGGGGGACCATCGGGGAGAGAAGACCTCCCAGGCCTCACACCCGCCCAGGGACTTGGACATCTATAGTGTCTTCAAAGTTCAGGTGATTCTCGAGTGTGGCCAGGGTGACTCCTAATGCCGATATAGTTCAAAACACCCCCCCACCCCTGTACTTACATTTTTGTCATCAAACAAACAGTCTACGCTTTGTAAGGGACAAAACGGGTCCAACTGCTTATAACATTGCCCAGTTGATGGATTCCAAAGCAAATATTCATCGGTTTCTTGAGTTAATACATAAGCCACATGCCCCTGTCGGAGGAAAATGTCATTTTTGGAGGATTTAACTAACTTCTGTATGTGGAAATTATTCACATAATGCTTCTGACTTCGAAAAGCCTTTTGGGGGACTTTCAAGATGTTTTGAGATAGGGGAAAAAAAAAAAAAAAAAAAAAACCCAAAGCTCCAAAACTCATGAGGCCCAGGTGAGCACGAGGGTTCAGAGGACAAACTTGCGAGCCGGTGCCGTGCTGGGCAGTCTTGCTGGGGCCCCCGGTGGCACCAGAACATGTGATTTTTTTTTTTTTTTGAGAAGATTTTGCTATAGGGTGCGTGTGCCTGCTGGAAATACAGAGCAAGACAGAGAGAAAGAAAATGAGAAATCACCCCCCCCCCAGGTGGGGGATGGCCATGCCGCCATTCCTTCTCCATCCTCCTCTCGGGATCTTGGGCACGCACATACACGCACCCAGCGTGAGTTTAAGCCACCAGGTCCGGGACTCAAACCACAGTTGACTACATGGGAGTCCAACAATATAGCCATTACGCTAACTGCTGGTCCCAGAACATGTGATTTTAACAACAGTACACCATGAGCATCTTCCTACTCGGAGGTGGGGCACTTCGTCTCTCACAAAGGTGCTCTGGGAACTCGCCCTGGAGACTGAGGGTGTGCACCAGGGAGAGTCAGAGAAGGAAAACTGGCTTAAGGCACTGGCAAAGCCCAATAAGGTTAAAAAGCCATTCAACTAAATTTCAGAACGAGATGTGGAATCAGAGGCTAATGAGGAAGCAAGTCTGAGGACTGAGATGGCCATTGTGTTGCTAGTTCTCCGCACACACCTTCAGTAGTGTAAGTTTCTCTTAGCCAAGAATAAACATTTCAGGCAGTGATAACCGTGACTACGGAGCGTGTGCTGACGGTGCCAGGTCCTGTGCTAGGACTAAGGCTTCACGTGACCTTCTTTCAGTCCCTCCCCGCCGGTGCCCGCCTTTAGGACGAAGGCTCCAAGGCGAGGGGCTTGTCCAGGGCCGTGTAAATCAGTCTCCTGTTTCCTGAGGAGGCGGCTGAGGCTCGGAGCGATCCAGGCTGAGAGCATACAGTTGCAAATGGCGTTGCTGGGTTTTATACCCGACCGACTTCCAAACCCATTTTCTTTTATATACATTTATATGTGTGCGTGTATTACATTTAATCACTTTACATCCTTATTATTATTTTTATTTTTTGGAGAGGTTTTTGCTATAGGGCACGCGCGCTCGCCAGGCAGACAGAGACAGAGAGACAGAAAGCGAGAAATCATCCCCCAGACGGGATGGCCACGCCACAATCCCTTCTCCATTCTCCTCTCAGGATCCTGGGCATGTACGCACACGCGCCCAACATGGATTTAAGCCACCGCGTCTGGGACTCGAACCGTGGTCAACTACATGGGAGTCCAGTGATATAGCCATTAAGCCACCTGCTGGTCCCTTAAATTTTTAATACTAAAAATAAGTCACAGTAGAAGAATGCAAATAAAATTGGAGAAAAATAAAAATGCCATCAACCTGAGAGGTCGAGTTCTCTATAAATCAGCACATGTAGGAGTGAGAGACTCCTCGGACCGTCTCAGAAGGTGTGGGAACCAGCAGTTAGCGTAATGGCTATGTCGCTGGACTCCCACGTAGTCGACCGCGGTTCGTGTCCTGGACCTGGTGGCTTAAAACTCACGCCAGGTGCGTGTGCGTGCATGCCCAAGATCCCGAGAGGAGAATGGAGGAGAAGGGATTGCGGCGTGACCATCCCCCCTGGGGGGTGATTTCTCGCTTTCTGTCTCTATGTCTCTCTCTGTCTGGCTGGCGAGCGCACGCGCCCTACAGTGAAAATCTCTCCAAAAAAAAAAGGTGTGTGTGTCCCTCCTCTGGACGTCCTGTGCACTTAGAGAGGTAAGTGTACAGACAGAGCCTCCTCTTCCCATACAGAACACATTCTCTGTCAGCCTACCCTCAATGGAGGGGTGACCAGTACAACACCATCTCCCCGGACGAAGAGCATCGGGATATTCCGTTTCATTGATTTATAGATCTCTTCATAGGTCTCTTCATCAATTTCAATGGTAGTCACAGTTTCTTCCACGTCTCCTAGTATCGTATTAAGTGCTGATCGTAAGCGTGTAAGCTGCCTCGGAGCTCTGGGTCATCTCTCGTTTTCACGTAAATTCGCTCATCCAGGCTGAGCCTGATGAGGTCCAGGGGCTCCTCTACGGTGTTGGTAGTTTGTCGCTGGACCACGTCGTCCGCCATGTTTCAAACCCTGCCTACATCCTTATTTTTTTTTTTAACAAAGCATTATTTAGTTTAGCTTATCATTATTATTATTTTTAAATTTGCCACAGGGCACACGCCCTCACAGAAAGAGACAGAGAAAGTGAGAAAGTAGGCCACGGGGTCCGGAGTGCAAACTGCAGCTGGCCATGTGGGAGTCCAGGGCCTTCACCGCCTCGCCACCTGCTGGCCCTCATGTCTGTACAGCTTTACGGTGTGTGACGTGTTTTTCCCAGCACGAATGCAGTGCGTGTTAGTCAAGAGAAGGGCATGAGCATGTACAGCAGCAGCAGAGAACTTTTCATGTTCGTGTCTATTAAATGTTTCTCCCCTGTTCCCCCCTCCCTCCTCCCTCCCCCATTACCCTCCACACTGTCCGTAGTATCTACAGTTGCCCTCCCTGCTATCACATTTTTTCTATCTTTCGGTGTCTGCAATAGAGCGCAGACATTAGGTGTATACATATATAGCACACACCTATATTCTAAACACTGTGCTGGCGAGCCCGGGCTCCCCGCCTCCATACCCTGGGGTCTTTATCACCGCGTTCATCTTCTCCATGGTGAGGCAGAGTCTTCACTCCAGCCTCTCTCAGGTGATCACAGGAACAAATGCAGATATTTATCAAAATATTGTTGGCTGTCTACTGCCACCTAGTGGCACATAAAACTGCAGCAGGGGATCCAATGGGAGGAATTAGCCACAGAGGTTTTTTTTTTTAAATAATTTTCTTTAATTTGCTATAGGCATGTGTACTCATCCGAGAGAGAGAAAGAGAGAGAGAGAGAGAGAGAAAGTGAGAAAGCAAGCCTCTACGTTGGGACTTGAACCATGCTTGGTCATGTGGAAGTCCAGCACCTAAATCACTGCGCCACCTGCTGGCCGAGCCATGGGGTTTTTGTTAACAAGCGTCACATGGAGATAACGAACTATGCCGAAGGAACACAGGAAAACATGACAAACATAAGCAACCCAGAAAAAGCCATACGGCAATACCGGAAATATTGACACTTAGCAAGATACCACTCATGGCGGGGCATAGCTCCACGGAGGTGCAACGCCTCCCAGAGAAGTGTATAAATTAACTTTTAAACATTTCTGGCCCATTTCGTGTGTCTCCAGAAGGTCTTAAAGTATAGAATTAAAACCTATGATGGGGACCAGCAGTTAGCGTAATGGCTATGTCGCTGGACTCCCATGTAGTCGATCGTGGTTTGAGTCCCGGACTCGGTGGCTTAAAACTCACGCCGGGCGCGTGTGCAGGTGTGCCCAAGATGCCGAGAGGAGAACGAAGGAGAAGGGATTGTGGCGTGACCATCCCCCCGGGGGGTGATTTCTCTCTCTCTCTCTCTGTCTGGCGAGTGCACGCGCCCTATAGCAAAACCTCTCCAAAAAAAAAAATAAACAAAACCTACGATGATAATGATGGTGATCATGGGTGTGTCAGCCACCACCACCCTGTAGCCACCATGGCACCACCACCAGCACCAAGGCCAGCACTCACAGGCAAATCTCGCTTTATTGAAGTTCACTCTACTGAGTTTAGCAATATTGGGATTTATTCATTTTAAAAATTATTTATTATTTAAAAATTATTTTAACTATTTATTTTTTTATTTATGTTCAATTTGACCAGAGAAGGACAGAGCAAGAGAGAGGGGAGAGAGGAATGAGAAAACAAGCTGCCAGGTCTGGGACTCAAACCATGGTCAGCCATATGGGAGTCCAGCGCCCTTAACTACCACGCCACCTGCCAGCCCCTATTATTATTTTTTTTAATTTAACTGGAGAGAGACAGAAAGAGAGAGAGAGAGAAGGAAAGTGAGAAAGAAAACTGCCAGGTCTGAGCCTTGAACTATGGTCAGCCATGTAGGAGTCCAGCACCTTAACTACCACACCGCCTGCCAGCCCTATTTTTAATTTTTTTTTTAAATGGAAGGTTTGTGGCATGCCTATATCGGGCAAGTCTCTCAGCCCCATTTTCATTTTTCCATGTGCTCACTTTGTGTGTCCATCATGTTTTGGCAATTCTCACAGGATTTCAAATCTTCTCGTTATAATGTCTGTTATGATGATCTGTGACTTTTTAAAAAGGTTTTTAAAGGTTTCTGGAGATGAGACTAAGAGGTGAAATAATGGCTTCGTCGCTGGACTCTCATGTAGTTGACTACAATTCAAGTCCAGGACCCAAGAGTTTAAAACTCAGGCGGGGCGTATGTGGATCCATGCCCAAGATCCTAAGAGGAGACTCGAGGAGAAGGGATTGAGGTGTGGCTGTCCCTTTTGGGGGTGATTTCTTGCTTTCTGTCTCTGTCTCTCCAACGAGCACATGCACCCTATAGCAAAATCTCTCAAAAAAAAAAAGGTTTCTGGAAAGAAGAAGTGAGAGAAAAAGTGAAAAATCACCCTCTCAGGGAGATGGCCATGCCACAATCCCTTCTCCTTCGTTCTCCTCCTGGGATTTTGGGCTAGCACATACATGTACTGGTGTGATTTTTCAAGCCACCGAGCCTGAGACTCGAACTGCAGTTGGCCATGTGGGAGCCCATCAGTGTGTTATTCTGTTGAATATTAAACCAGACCTATTAAACCACTAACATAAAGTCAGCGTGGGCCCATGGGAACACAAAGCCCACATTTGTAAGAATGGAGCAAAATGTCACAGTCTTGCTACCCAAACCCAGTGAAGGGGCAGAAGCCAGGGAGCTCTGAGACAGCAGATAAA